AAAAATATGTTTGCACCTAGTCAAATTATACATCAAAATAACCATAACTGTATATAGAACAGGAAAATATTGAAAAATGAGCAGTTATTTACATACATTCCATAATATTTGTACATTTGGATCATAACCTCCGATATTGTAAAAAAATAAATTTTTAAATAATTTTGAAAAAAGGATCCCAAACAGAAAAAAACACTCGTATCTTATATGGAATTATTAAGAATTGCATTTGGAAAAAACCTATACATGTCTTGGGTGGTACTTTTTGAGTAAATTCACCAAAAAGTAGTGATTTTGGGGAGAAAAATTGTTTTTGACTATTTAGATCTAGGCCTAGATCTAACACTCAAAAATATTGATTTCGCAATTACAGTGCACTGGCAATTTGAGTCCAGTAGTATCAATATTATAAAGAAGAGTCCTACATTTCTTTAGTGAGCAAAATAATGATACATTTTGTTGTGGTAAAGTACTAAGACTAGTGTCTGGGCTATAATTTGGGCTTCGCGATAAAACAATGTCGCATAAACTTCGAAATCGTGTTTCAAAACTGAATCAAAACTTCCAGTTTTCGGTGGAAACGCTTGACCCGGAAGTCAACTTTATATTATGACCTTTATTTTAACATGGATATGTGGATTGGAATAGAAACCAAGCTAAAATTGAGCGTCGGTTCTCGAGCCGCCGGGGGCGGCGTAGCGTACTGACGGCACTTTAGCCGCGCCGCCCCCCACGGCTCGGCGTAGCGAATGAGCTAAGTAGGTTACTCATTAGGCCTCTATATCATTTTTGTGAACTCTAGAATAATTCTCATGTTGGGTTTTGAAGCGGTTGAACCTGGTTCGAATCCCCAGCACGTCGTTCTGAACTGGCGTTGGTTTGGGGAGTTTTTTTAAGGCTTCCCACCCTTTTGGCCCCGTCCTATTGGTGATGGATGTTAAATTCGAAGGTTCCGCCTCTTATACGATCGTTCAGTGCTGAAAGGGGTATAATAATAAACCTATACAATGACCAATACATTAACCAATGAGAATAATTCCAAGTCATAATAATATTATCAGTAATCCTTAGACCCCCCCCTCCCCCCTCTCCCCATGCATTAAGCACTTATTCTTTTTTGTGTTTTTCAATTTTTCAGGCAGAAACAAATGTTGTCAAGCCCCAGAGAATCTTTAAGGTAGTCTTTGTTGGAGACTCTGGAGTCGGAAAGAGCAGTTTCATTCATCGATTTTGCCACCAAGAGTTCAGACCAAATTTTGCAGCTACAATAGGTTCGTTTTCAATAGGTTATATCTCTACTGCTTAAAAAGTGACAGTCTTATACTGAGCAGCTGATGTGTATTTTAAGTGTGTTTACATATCGCTTCCCCTGAGGTGAGGGGATTCAATATTATGTGTAAATTGTGCCCACTTGACTCTGGTTTGAGGATCCTGTGTCAGAATCTCCGTAAGTATAATAGAATGCGAAAATAATATTCAGGGTAAATGATCAGGGAGTAGAATGCTGCATTTTTAAAGTTCATAATCTGTTTGTCAACTTGCTACCTATAATCTGCTTACGAATACCCTAACATACCTGCCACTATACTCTCTTCCCACTTAGCTCCTCTAGACACTTTTGTCTTGGCCGAATAGAATAGGTTAATACAAACAATGTCGCCGTAGCAGAGACTGCCCACCATTTCGGAATTTCACGGTGATCGTAAAGATGGTTCCTGTAGGGAATGGGATAGAGGGTGCCCATGTTCGTCGTGACTCATTGGAGCAGAGGAAGATTGGACTAACATTGACATTACTTAAACGCAATCCCACATCATCACTCATCCCCACCTTTATTTCTAAAATCCTCATTGCTCTCAGATAAATGACTTGCATCTATAATCCTCGAATCTCTTTCTGTAACAGTTACTTGTCATACTAAGTATGCACGTACTATTAGACACTGTCATATGCACTTTTTTCTGCTAATAGATGGCGTCCTCGTATAACTGGGCAAGGGATTTTTTAAAAAGTGTGTTTACATAATAAATGTGAGCAACGCATTTAGTGAAGGCAAAGATCTAATAGCGTATATTAATAGATCTGCCTACACTGTAGAATAATGAATTGATGTGTACTTTTATTTATGTTCCAAAAGGAATGCAGTTATGTAATCTATATGATCTTAGTTTGGAGTGTAATGTCATTGTGATATGAGCCTTTCATAAAAGTTGGTCTTTTTACCATACTATTTTGGCAGGGTCAGAAGCCTGCCTCCTTAGTGATCTAATCGTGTTGTTTGGGGGACTTACCTTTGTGTTCATATTAAGAGTGATTACTTGTTATAGACATAACGAGGGAAATGTGAAAAATGTAACCGTGATTTCAGCTTTCATTTACTAATTGAAGGTGAAACTTTTATTTTCGACAGGTTAATGATAATGATCAGCACTGATTGTTGTGGTGTGATTATCTGTGGAAGGCTTGTCTGACATAGGACATTTATTTAAACAAAAAAAAATAAAATTACTTCAATATGGTGAACAATGTTTTTGTCTGTGCTTGGATTTCTGCAGGTGTGGACTTTCAAATAAAGACGATGGATTCTCGGAACACGACATGCATCCTGCAGCTCTGGGACACAGCGGGCCAGGAGCGGTACCGCTCTCTGACTAATGCCTATTTCCGGAAAGCTGATGGGGTCATAGTTATGTACGATGTCACTTCGGAGAAAAGTTTCATGAGTGTCCGCAACTGGATGGGATGTGTTCAGGTAAAGGGAGAAAAGAAATGACTCTTGTGTTTTGTTGTCACCAAAAAAACCCATAGTATTTTCTGTTCTTGTTATTTTGTCCTTTGTGGGGATAGATGTACTATTAATAGGCCTACATTCTGAAAGCATATTAAATTTTCGAAATCTTTCATTGTTTTGCATAGTAGTGCTCAAAAAGCATGCTTTATTTCTATTATGCAAGCAGAATCTGATTTTTTATGACAAGAAATTTTGAAGAAAATCAGTTGGCAAGTCAAATATATATTTTATATATTATTTATATTGTTCAAGTCCGCTTAGGTTCAGGTGACATATTTAGAAGTTATGAAACAACTGAACTATACATGCAAGTTAGTTGGGCAAGGAAAGTTGGAAACTCCATGTTAAAAGGGAAATAACAGTAGTCCTCTCGCTCCATGTCGCCAGGGAAGGCAGATCTGATAAGAAGCTTCCTCTACCTCATGTAACAGAAATGCTGGTAGTAGTTTATTGTAAGTAAGGAGATAACTGTACGAGGACTCTCGCCTGTTAAAATTAATATTTTGAACTTTCATTATACAACCTATATATATATATGAATAAAACACTGGTCAAAGATCCAATCAATGAGTTGAGGAGGGGAGATCAATCCATAATCTTCCAACTTAGAACACAACATGTACCCCTCAACCAGCATCTCAACTGAATTGGAGTAAAGAAGTCTGCTGCCTGCCCATTATGTGACTACCCCTCAGAGACAGTGGAACATCATCTGTTCTTCTATACAAAACTAACTGATTTAAAGGGATGTTTTCTTCCCAAGCTACCCCACACATCTAATTGCCTCTGCTCTTCAAGACAACAATTAGAACAGACATGCAGCTATTACGGAATGGCATCATGCAGAAGAGTTAATGCTCAGATGCTACTGGATCGCTAACAACAACAACAACAACAACCTATATATATATATATGTAAATAGTCACCTCCCTTTTAGCATGTTCTCAATTCTGATTGTATGACTGTACAAATGGAGGAAAACATTTATATTATCTCTATAATATCAACTGAATTTTCTGTCCCTAGACGCAAGTGGAACCAGGAACTGTGATTGCTCTACTAGGAAACAAACTTGATGTAACGGAGGATGACTCTCACAGGCCGGTCAAGGAAAAGGATGGGATGCTTCTCGCTGATGTAAGGACCTCTGTTTATGTAGGAATGTTAATATCATAGACTGTGTACTGTCGTAGCTGCCACTTTTTACCCTTTAGAAAAACTTTGTTGCCCTGGAGTGCAACAAGGGCACGCAAATGAAGACATCAGTTTCATTATTGCCGAGTGTGCATGCAGCCTCCTCCCTCATTGTCCTTCATTTGTTAGACAGTGTGGTGAAATCAGACGCTTGTCAAAATAATGAAAGTGAAGAAACGCATTTTTTAAACAGGTTTTGGAATTTTTATTGAATTTTTGGGGGTTTTTTTAGCTCAACGCCTTCTATGTCCATTAAAGAACACATTTCTGCGTGGATTTTATTGAAAAACATTGATTAAAGGCACAAAAAATTTTAATTTTCAGTTTCCACAGACTCTGAAGCTAATGAAATAACTAAACTTTGGTGGCAATTTTCTTCCTAATTTTGCCTCTGGAACCAGGTGATTCCCACCTCCTTCAATTGCTGATATCTCGACTTGTATCTGAAGTAAAATGGATTTTTTTTTAAAAATTGAAAGCAAATGAACAAGCTTTATGTTGATACAAACTACTCCACCTGCCCAAAAATTGACGAGCACCTGATTTCACCACGAGGCCTCATATTTGGTTCTAAATCAAATCAAATGGTGCACTCCACGGTGAACTGTAATCACATCAGAGTGTTCAATTTTATACATTTCAATACATATATGGCCCTGCAAGACTGTAATTCAGTAGTTAATTCCAAAGGCAGAGCTCTTGGTTATGTGTTATGAGTGAACAAAATGGGAGAAGAGATGAAAGAAGACTGGCATTACATTCCAAAGTATTATAGTCAGCACAGATAACACAAATATGAAAAATCGAAATCACAGGTAGCTCATACAATTTGCCATTCCCTGTCTGATATCTCTTTAACCCTTTGAGACCTGAGCTCCTGAGCCATAAATATTACTAACATTCATATGATCGTTAGAATCACATTCTATATTCCCACTTAGGGTAGGCCTACCGGTAGTCTTTGTCATTATATAGCCTCTAATTAAAAAAGATCTTCGAAATAATCAATGTAATTTGTCAATACCCAACATGTTTACAGTATCCATTCCTGATGGTGTCAAGAATTAACTTCTGAAAGTTGCTGTAATGACAATGATAATAAAGTGTTTTTTTTAGTTAAGTAGGCCTGTTGCAATGGAGCAAAAGTTATACAACACTGTATTAGTGCGACTGGTATCATGCTGGACTGACTGCAGTGTAGGCAGACATGGAATAGTTTGAATCATAAGTGAGTCATTCTTGAACTTGAAATTTTTAGTTAGAGAGAGATAGATAGAGAGAGAGAGAGAGAGAGAGATCTATTTACTTGTTTTGATCATTTTGAAATGCATTGCCATATAAGAATGATCGACCTCTAAATTCTCGACTTCTTTCCTCAGGAATATGAAGCTATCTTCTATGAAACCAGTGCAAAATCTGGGGCAAACATTCAAGAGGCTATGGAAGCATTTACCAGGTAAAGTAAAGATCCCAATTTTTTAAACGTTAAAATTTGTTCTAAATGTGTTAGTGTTGAAGGTTTTGAAAAGCAATAGAGTCTGTTATTGAACCATTCTTGATGTAATAAGCAGGTGGTAGACCCCCTCCCTCTAGTGTGTGTATATGGTATCCTTGTTCTCCCCCCCCCCTTCCCCCTCCTACCCCCCTTTCTCTTCACCCCCCCCCCCCCCCTTACCTGCAGCTTGAGGGGAAAATCTTTTTTTTTTAATTAGGTAGCGTAAACCACGGCCTCGCGGGCCCTCACAGCCTTCCGAGTGCGTCGTATTGGTGAAATCAGGGTAATTCAGATCGCTGTTTCTTTGCTCTTTCGCTATAACACACCAAATGCTGTACACCTTGTAAAAGTTCCGCTTTTCCTCGTTACAATAGTGTAAGTTATTTATGTGTCCGATTATTAGGAGCTGGAGAATCACCGACGAAAGCGAAGCCCCTCGCTGTCGGAATGTGTAGTCGGCCGGTTAAAAGAATGACATGGGTGCTTTCAAATGCCTCGCGGGAAGATCGATGATTAAATACCGTCTTTTCATTTGCAGAGGACTGTAGAGCTTTGAGTGGGTTTTTCCGTGAAATATTTTTGGACTTTGGTGTTTAAATAAAAAGCCTTTAAAAATACCGTCAAAGTTTTGAAAGATCATTTTTTACATAAAATATGTAAAATACCGGTAGTAGTAGAAAGATCAGTTCTTTTTTTCTATTAGAATAAAGTAATCGGCATGGAACTATTTTTCATCAATCCTTCCGCGAAACTCGCAAAGCATGTGACCCCCCACGTGGGGAGCACACGATACACTACAGTAATGGAGACGACTCACTCGCCGCGGGGGCCGGTGCCGCGCCGGCCAGATTATCGCTCGGTGTTTTTGTCGAAATAACGACAGATCATCATGTTTGAGGTGATAAAATATTGTTTTGTAATGTACTTACAGTCTTGGAAAAAAATAGGCTACATATCTATGTTATAGTGATTGTACTCTGTTAATGATGTTTGGTGCACTTGGTGCTCTTTTATTACCTCTCAAACATGGGGTTGCAGCCAGTTCGACTTTAACAAATTTTATCAAATTTTAAACAACTACAATTTTCTTAAAAATTGACTGAGAGGTTGAAGAATGGTACAAAAATGCTGAGGAGATAAAGGCCTTTCATAAGGAATAGATAAATTTGGCATACAGCTACTTTGAAAATTTAATTTCTGGTACCTATTTTAATTGTGACTTACCTGGTTTTTCCCTTAGCGTCTTCACATAATGTTGCCTGATAGGATATATGTATTTATCCAGGTGGTCAAGTTCATATGTGTTGTTCTGTTTTAAAGTTTTATAACATAGTATCAGTTCTCATTGATTTGCTTTTGATCTCTACAATTTGCTTTGGTGCACCATTTGCATAATATTAATATCAAGATGTTTTAATTCTTTGTCCTTTTTTCTCCCAGTTGGCTCCAGGAAAAAGAAGACAAGAGAATGGAAGATGGATTGAAATTGGTAGAGACCCCAAACAAGAAGGGATGCTGTGGAAGATAATTTCCATAGAAGGAGAGTTTGCAGGCTGAAATGAAATAAAATGGAAACTAAAAACAAAAGTCCAGATTACGAGACCCAAGCTCCCTCTGCCCCCAATTCCTCGCATTGTGATGATCTCAGTTTCATGTAATATATTGTGTAAATAATTTAGAATAAATAATTCCCCTTTGTATCATGTTTAATATTTTTGTCAATAATTGTAGCCTACATTCATGCATATCAAAAGGGAAATGTTTCATTTACTTATTCTTAGCTAGCTACCTATACTGTGATACACTCCTCTTTACTGGAAGCATTGCAATGTACTTTATCAATTCCTTTCTTTTTATTTTTTTGGAACCCCTTTTTTTTATATGTGGCCTTCCAGGCTTGAGAAAAAATGTGTCCCACAGTTGTTCTATACTGATGATAGGTATGTTTAGAAACTGTTTCAACCTGAAGAATTGTGCAATGAAGTCATTGATCTTGTCTCAAGGGACTTGCCATACAACATTATGTGTTCAGCCACTTGTGCCTGGGGAATAAAGGGTCCAGTTTGTATCATATAATATTCTTTATTTTAGGCCTCTGTATGAATTCTGAATTATATTGTTGTGTTCCTGCAAATCCATGACAAGTTTCTATATATATAAGTTGAACAAAGCATTCCAACAACTATACCATACTACATTTTCCATTATACACATCAATCAATGATTTTGGGCGAGTTTTTATGCAATGCCAAAAATATGTTGTGCATATTATTATACTGATGTTACTAATATTTCACTGCTGGGAAGCTTTACGGAGAGGACTGCTGCTAACACTAATTACAGTGTAGAAGTTAATAACACAAAATAAGATGGCTTCCAGACAGGCAAAAACTGCAATGTAAACTTTATGCAAGGAGACCCTGTTGAATGCAATATTAATTCCCAGTTGTTGACAGAACTTCCATATATATAACTTAAATACTTTTGTTATGCAATGTTTTCATTTCTTCTACTATTCATTCCTTTTATTGAGTTGTTATAGTCCAATCTGTCTCGTATGCAGTTGTCTCTTATTGTGTTTTAGAATCGCTGCCAAGTTCCATAGCTTGAGGCATCATGTGTGAATGGCTGGTTTAACAATCAAGCAAATGCAAGACTTGAAATTCTGATATCATATATATACTTTACACAAGACATACTGGGGAGTCTGCTTAGTTTGAACACAGTTAATCAGAAAACAGCAGGAAGCAGAAAGAAAATAAAATACCTGATTTTTTTCTTTTTTTGTCTTTGTAAGAAAACTATCAGTCAGCCAAAATACTCCCACTCATTTCTAAAAGAATTTGGAGGGTTATGTTGTGTGAACTTGCACTAAGCAATCCTGAAGAAATGAAGTTGATCAAGTCTTACACGCTTCAAGAGATACATGAATGCATGGGTGTCAGTTGCTGGCCAGCAAAGAGAGGCATCGCCATTGCACTGTTTGCCTATGTTTATCACATTCACATACATTGTGTAGGTCTAATGGCGCAATCTTTGGTTGGTCATAGCCTATCATCTCAGTGAAGCTAATTCACATATGCCCTTTTAACATGAGCACAGGACTTAATGTGGGGGGGGGGGGGGGGGGTTGCGCCACTGACATTATTGGGCTTTCTTGTTTAGTTCGTTGATTTACTCTTTCATCTGTTTGATGTGACCATTCCACTGAATAATAATTAAGCCCAAGCTGACAATATTGAAGTGGAAGACAAAGCCCAATACTAATAACCTTCAGCTCAAATTAGAATGATCGATGAAAAAGTTAGATGATGAAAAAGTTTCAAAAAGTTAAATTTGTTACAAGCACAGCATTCTCAATTGTAGGCCATCGACAATTATCATAAATTACTATGACTATTTGAGCGACCTGGCATAACCAAAGAAAATCTGGCATTTTCCAACAGATTTGGATTTAATCTAGCGGACTCAACTGTGCTGTTTGACAGGGTAAATGCCTTTTATTTTCACCTTAATCTGTGATTTTTCATCACTTGCGCATTTCTATTTCTAACAAAGATGCCCAAATCTGAGCATATAGGCCTATTCAGCATCTATGTTGCATCAGTTATAAGGCTCTTTGCCTTGTTTTTTTGCACACTCCTTTTCTCTACAACCTTTCTACAACTTAACTGTGGAATTCGGGGTGGTAACTGTTCATAAAAAAGAAAACACATTTCTATAGTATGCATGTACGTACATTGTAAATACTTTTAAACCTTACTTGGACATCATCACACACAATTTTATATAATCTATGAAATTGATTTGAAAAGTTACTTTAGATTACATGGGGTTGTTGTTGTTTTTTTATATAAATGGGAAATTGTGGTTCAATTTTTATGATGAAATTAGTTCATGTTATTTGTGCAATTCTGCAACACACCCTGAAATGGCTTTAAAAATCTTACCATGTACTTGATTTGAGCATTTTAAAATTCTTCAGAAGAGAAAAAAAAAAGAAAAGAGCTGCACTGACAAATTATATTCAAAATTACAATGAATAAAACTGGGATAACACTTTTGAGCATCGAAGTTGTTCCTGGGGCTTAATTTCAGCCGTTTTGTCAAGTCAAAGCAAAACCATGACCACTTGGAAGTGCTTGAAGTGAAGCACATACTTGTTTAATTTAATACTTTGCAGTCACTTGGTGCAATGATGCACAGGCCCAAGAAGGCGGTGGCAGTCGCTCTCCTGGCTGGGTGACCAGATAGGGTATTTTGTACTGCTGGCTGTGTGACTGCAAAGTGTTAACCAGTCAGTAATGGATGTACCAAGCAAGTGATGTGCACCGGTGTCTGTGGTGTTGTGTTGTGGATAGGTGCTTCGTTGTTGCACGCAGGAGACCTGAGTTTGATTCCAGAGCGGGGAGCAATATTTATTGAGTATCCTGTTTTTCTGCTGGGATGTTGTGTCCCTCTCAGGCTGAGTCAGAAACCTGCCTTTCTAATTATCTAACTGTGCCGATAGGGGCATAAAAAACAGCTGCATACTTTAAAAAAAGTGATGTGTGCTTTTGCCACACACAAGGCAAGTGTTGATCTCTCTCTCTCCCTCTCTCTCTCTCTGCCCCCCCCCCCCCCTCCCCACTCAACATCAGGACACCGCTCATTAGACACCAAAGGTCACTTTACAGACACATCTGTCTCTGTTGTATCTGTAGATTTATGTACCAAGTTTAAGTTTAAGTCTGTGATCACATAGAAAGACTTCGATATTTTTATTTATAATATTAATTTGTTTATTATTTCCCCTTTTTTTTTGCATTTAAGTTTAAGATGCTTGTTGTACTTAGGGTTTGAATATCAATCCACTTTATCATAAAGTAAAAAGTCAGATATTTCTTTCATTGTATGAAAATTAACAATGCCAAGTATGCACATGTAGAGATCTATTTAATTTTTTACATCAACCTCTCATGCCATGCTCATGCTTATTTTCTTCATTCACCAAATTCAGAAAGAGTTGAATCTCAGTTGTTCGGTGTGTATGTGTGTACAAATTGTGACATAATTTTGCATTCCAATTCAGAAGTATGAATATCGGCTGTCACCATGTATATTATGATTATCTTTACACATGATGTTCATGGTAATGTCTACACATTGCATAAATGCTTCCCAATCTGCATTCTTTTTAATGTATGTGGTAAGATACAAAGTGTTCATATATGTTTTCACAATGTAAAACCCCTTCTGACTGAACAATAGCCCAATAGAGTCCATAAATTTAGCATTGTAGTCCTGTTGCGAAAATTTATTTTAAGCAAAATCTGTATATATATAGTCCAAGCGCACAGAAAGCATCTTATTATGTTTTAACAAATCCAGTTCTTTCCACATTTAGATTTTTTATCTGCATTCTCTATTTCTTTAATTACAAAGTGTGGATTTGCGTAGCCGATGTAGGCTACTCTGAACAAAATCAGAAGAATCTGAGAATCATCAGTTTGAAAGCAGCACAGTCAGCCCCTGCACATTGCTCTCTACCTACCTTTATAAGTGTCGATTTTGTCTTAGACTGTCACTCAGTATACCATCTCACTGTAGGGATTAATAAGATTTAGAGGTCACAAAAAAATTGTCCCTTCCATGGCAACCCAGACTCATTCCAAAGGATGAATGCCGACTAAAGTAACAGTAACACTTTCTTCTGTTGCCCCTGACACAGAATTTACTAGTTCTGCAAACATGGATTGTTCCCTCCTTTACACTTTATAATAATATATGCGGTCAGACCACCATCTTGTGTGTACAGTAGGCCTATTTATTGTTTTAACTTCCCAAGGGTAATTGAAAGGTTTTTGGAGATTCAGCTCAGTAGGACTTTAGTCCTTTTGATCTCATGCTCAATTAGGCTAGGCCTACATTAAATATAAAATTTACAACAGTACAGTTGCCTCCGTTAATCTCATTTTTAAGTACTGAAAACTGATTGTGGATCTCAACTCCTCATCTTTTACAGTACAGGGTGTGAAAAATCTTAAGAATGTGACAACTGACAATGGTTCAGCGATATATTGAAAGTTGATGTACATGATGTAATTAAATTTCCCAATGGTCTTACTTATGGAAAGGTGCTTCGCAGCAATTAAATATAATATAATATTATATATTAAAAGCTTCTACTTTGTCTGTATTGTTTATTTTGCTGAATGTGAGTGGTTTGTTTCCGTTGTACAATTTGTAATGTCAACGAATCGTAAAATTATTTGTGTTGTTCTTTAAAGTTCTCCCTTTTTCATGACCTGTTGATGACTGTAACAATTTGAAGAAACTTAAACAGTCAGTAAGTAAACAAAATTACCACTCTATAAAGCACACTGAAAGCATAATTGTGTAAAATGGTTTAACACAAACTGCATCACAAACAAGGGTTTAGAGCTAAAGTTGTTTTCATGAGGGTGGTTGGCGGGTGCTGTGGTGTGGTTTGCTCCTTCTTTCCTATCAAACAACTATCGTCTTTATCTCTCCTCCTGCTTTTTTGTGTGTTACTCTCTTGTAACACCTCTAATGTTCGGCACTTAAATATGACATTGTGTTGCAAGTGCCGTAAAACTCTTACTAAAAAAAGCTGTTTTCATGTTAATGTTATTTATAATATTAATTATAATAATAATAATATTAATAAAATAACAAATAGTAATATATAACATACAATATATATCCACACTCCACAGATGCTCTATGCACTTTGCCACTATTTTTAGCACAGCAGACCCTAGAACACTAAGAAACATTTTTAGCTTCCCAGGAATCATACAGTGCATGCTGTGGATTTCACACTCTCAAAACAAACTGACAAGATTTCTCGCTGCCTTTAGCAGGGTACCCATTCCCTCCAAGGAAATTCATGAAAAGCACCTTTCCCAAGGACACAAAAGGCCCTTTAGTTGCATAGACAGATTAGGTAAATCTAGACAGAATAGATAACATCGTTGCAAGGTCAGAAACAACAACAAAAATACCAAGATATATTTTTTAATTACATGATGAGTAGTGAATGGATGTATCAGGGGATGAATGTGTTATGGTCTTTTGCATCTTCAGAGATACTCTTACATTATATACATATATGTAATTGCCTGGGCAGAAGACACAGGTTTATAGATTACCCAATTCATAAATCATACATGGGGGATCTTTTGATCTAGAGGTTACGGTGTTCACCTCTCATTCAGTAGGTCTCGGGTTTGAAACCTGACAGCGACACAAGATATATTTCTCCGAAAATGTTCTCCTTTCAGCTCCTTTCTCTAACCTTGTTATGTCATCTGTTTTCGTTTCCACTCTCTACCTCCACCCCCCAACTCCCTTTTCCACCTCCTCTGGACTCCTGGTTCTTTCTGCAGTCTTTCTACTGTTACTCCATGGCTCCTTCTTACTGCTGGTAAGTAACATCTAACGCCTAGCCTTCTCGAATAAGGGCGAAAAGTCTCGGAGGTCCGGTGTGTGCAAGGTGTGCACGTTAAAAATCCCTTGGTGGTCCAAAATCGAAAAGTAGGCTTCGGCCGCCAGCCCTGCAAAATTCAAAATTTCCCACAAATTGAAAATGTTTAGTGTGTCTCGCGCACTCATATGACCTTAAGCAGTTGCGAGTGCCATAAAACACTTATAAAAAAAAAGTACAGTTCCCTCATCTTGACTTCTTGATGGTTCAAAGAAAAGACTCTGTGAGTAGGCCTACTTTTTAAATCGATGCAGACATTGAAAGGGGTGGATTTCTTTGCACAGAATCCACCAGGGCATTATGGTTGGAATTATTTTAAATTTTTTCAGGGTAGCAACGTAACGCCAATTGCCTACTAGATTTTCAACCATAGGGAAATCGTGAACATGATGCTCAACGAGCAAATGGGACTTCTAATATATTGTTCATTCTTATCCAACAAGATGAGGTGCTTACTTGACCTTACAAGTTACAGTAAAGAGCAGACAACAATACAAGTTTTGCGAGTCGGAATGAGCAAGTAGGTGAATATAATTTTAAAAATCTAGTGGGCGAGTGAGTGAAAGAGAGAGAATGAGTGAGAGAGGGGAGAGAGACAGAAAGTGTGTGTGTGTGTGTGTGTGTGTGTGTGTGTGTGTGTGTGTGTGTGTGTGTGTGAGAGAGAGAGAGAGAGAGGGGGGGGGGGAGCGAGAGAAAGAAAGAAAGAGAAAGATTGAGATGAGAGGGAGGGGTGGGTGGATGCACACATGAGAATCAAAAGTACACTGTATGTTGTTGTTGTTGTTGTTGTTGTTGTTATCGATCCAGCAACAGCTGGGCTCTCGCCCTTCTGTCCAATGCCATGTAGTGATAAGTGCAGGTCTGCTGCAGTTGCTGTAATGTTCCATAGAGTGTGTTGTCAATGTTAGGTCTCGGAGGGAGAAGGGTAGCTCTGAAGTCATTTAGGGCTGTACAGTGGAACAGGTGATGATCCACAGTCTCATATGCATAGTCACACAAGGGACACATTGGGGGAAGTTCCGGGTTTATTCTGTTCAAGTGGAAGTTGAGCTGTATATGTTCTGTTCGTAGGCGGAAGACCGTGGTCTGTTTCTTTCTCTGAAGGCGGTTGATATTGTCATTCCTTTTTGTTGGGGTCATATGTTTGAAAACTGCTCTGCCTGTCTTTCCCAGGGCCCACCTGTTCATCCAATCTTGTTTGTTGTTGCTTTTGATGATTTGTTTTGCAGTGTTGTATGAAGTTGGAATGTTGGGTTGTTCCTGTCTAGATCCCCGTTTGGCGAGTGTGTCTGCTCTGTCATTTCCAGGTATGTCTGAGTGTCCGGGGACCCACTGCATTACTAGGTTGATGCCACAGAATGTTATCAGATGATGGGATCCAAACAGTATATGGGTCAAATCTTGGTTTAGGTGATGGTCCTTTTCTATGGCTTGTAATACTGATAGTGAGTCAGAGAAAATCACAATACTCTGTGCTTTTCCAGGATGAGTGTCAAAAACTGGGCGGAGATGGTACAGTGCTGTTTCAATTGCCATCATTTCTGCATCGTAGTTGCTGCATTTCTCTCCACAGGCTGCAGAGATCTCATTGGAACTTCCATTTGGGTACTGTATTAGTATTCCATATCCGGCTTTGGTTGTGCCTTTGAATGCTGAGCCGTCCGTATAGATGTGTATCCAGTCATCTGAATAGCTGTCGATTGTTTGATGTGATGCAAGCATCAGCGTCACTGGGTCTGAAGATTTTGTGCTCTTGTCTTTGAGAGATGTTGTAATGATTGGCTTTTTTAAAGAAAGGTGGGGAGGGATGTTTTGGTTGACTCTTTTGGTTTCTTTTCTATTTTGTGGTAGATGGTGGCTCTCCATTAGTTCTGTGATGTGATGCATGATTGACTTTTGTTGAATTCGTTTCTTTGGTTTCCATGTTTCTACTAATTTCCTGTTTGGGTGGTTGGGGCACATTCTTTTAGTTCTTTCATGTAGCTCCAAAACTGCTTTATCTCTGCGGATTCCCAGGGGTTCAACATTTGCAAGGATTTCGCACGTGGCGGTAGGTGTGGATCTCATGCCTCCATTTATAAAACGAAGGGCATTGTTTTGGACCTTGTCAAGGGTGTTGCAAGTAGTTGTACTGCACATAGTGAGTAGGCTATTGCTGTATTCCAGGGAAGATCGGACATAACCCAGGTATAGAGCTCTCAGAGTTTGTTTGTCTGATCCCCATGAACTGCTTGCGAGTTTCTTTAAAAGTTGGAGTCTTTTTTTTTGCCTTGTTCCTTATGTTCTCCACTTGGCTTTTCATGGTTAGCTTATGGTCAAGTTTGACTCCTAGGTAAGTTGGATGTTCTTCTTTGGGGAGACTTTCATTTCCTATCTTTAGTTTGAGATTTTCTTTGGCTGCTTTATGGCTCTTCGTGAAGATGGTGTATACTGTTTTCGTGCAGTTTATTTTAAGTTTCAATTTCTGACAGTAATTATGGAGCCTCTTGAGGTCTTCATTTAATTTCCCTGCTCCTACTATCGTGCTGTGATGTGTCTGCCAGAGAGCAAGATCATCGGCATAAAGTCTTTTCTGATTTCAGCACGTTCGTTACATCATTAAAGAAGATCAGGAACAAAGTGCAACTCAGACCGGAACCTTGAGGTAGGCCTTCCTCGAGTACTTCTCTAGACGAGTGGGCATTGTTTACCTTGGTTTCAATGTTTCGATCCGACAGGAAGAACTTGATCCATTTGTAAAGTTTGCCATGTATCCTGAGGTCCATCAATTTCATGAGTAGGCCTTTTCTCCACACTCTGTCGTACGCCTGTTGGAGATCTACAAAGATGGCGACAGTGTGTTTACTCTCCTGAAATCCATCCTGGATGTTTTGACTCAGTTTAAAAAGTTGATCTTCTGTGTTGCTGCTTTTTCTGAAGCCTGCTTGGTGTGGGTTTAAGCTGTTAGTATTTTCCAGGTACCAGTAGAGATGGTTGTTTATCATTCTTTCCGCAAGCTTACCGATACATGATGTTAATGAGATGGGTCGGTAGCTTTTCGCTTCTCCAGGTGGTTTCCCATTTTTCAGGAGTGGTGTAATCTGGGCGATCCTCCATGCCTTTCGTATTCCACTCGTTCTCCACGTGGTGTTTATCAGGGAAAGAAGAACTTCTTTTCCTTTAGCACCAAGGTGGCACAGCATTTCGTTGTGAAAGTGCACTGTATCAGTCTACAATAAATCAGTCAACCAATCAAAGGCATAGAAAATCATTCAAACATTTAATGAAACATTTTAAAAAAATAACTATGATGCAGGTGATCTAGGGACAAAGGAATCAGGAAAACTGAGAATAAGACTGAATACTCTCTGTCGTCTGATAAGTAATGCAAAAGGTTAAGGCGCGATTCTTTTGTGTAGGTCTGGTTGTGGTCGATCTCGTCCTATGAAGTTGAAGTTAGTTCGTTCATCACAAATTCCTCTGCTATGCGACGGATGCCAGCTTTGGCCTGCATGAGCTTGAGGGGATCTTTTATTTTTCTCAAATCGTTCGCTATATCCAAGGCAAATGTGTCGAGTTCATCTGTCGTAGTAACTCTGTCCAGGACTACCGGTTTCCTCTCGTCCTCAAAATCAAAATCAGTGGAATGATTATGAAGACGTCTACGTTTGTTGTGTGTGTTTGTTGTCGCTGTCGAAGAATTCAAGGATTGATCACAAACCCTACAAGTGTCTTGTGTGGTAGGTATTTGGGGTGTATCAGACGAGGTACTTTGCTCAGGAGAAAGCTCAGAAACAGTATAAGTTATGCCAGGCTCCTCATCAGTATTGTCCATCTGCTCTGCTTCACTGGCGTCTTCTTGATCTTCAACTTCATCGAACTCCACAAGGCTTGATGGAACAATTTTTCGCCCGAGGAATTCGTTCTTCATAAATAGCATCCGTTTGAAAAATGGCCACGTGATGTTGTCACTGGATTCGAAGGCTGGTAATCCATACTTAGTTTTTGGGAGTTTTGCCACCTGGGCTCTCATAGAATCCTTTAGGTTTTTCAGCTTCTTGGCACATTCGGCAGCTGGAATAGAATCATTAAAAAATATGTAATTATTATTATGATGATGGTATTCTTTTTGCTGTCGTTGCTGTTGTTATTGTTGTTGCTATTGTTGACGTTGTTGTTGTTGTTGTTGTTGTTGTTTGTGTACAGAAGAAATCTTGTTTTTGTTTGGTGTCATTCACATGACTATAATGTACCGGCAAACAGAAACACTATAAGTTATATAATATGATAATGTGGATTTTGTTTCATTCCGGGTAAGTGGGTGGTTGGGGGTGCTCTGGTGTGTTTTGCTCCTTCTTTCCTATCAAACATCTGTCATCCTTATCCCCCCTCCTTCTTTTTTGAGCATGTTACTCTCTTGTAACACGTAATCTACTCTTCGGCAATTATATGACCTTATTGAGTTGCAAGTGCCGTAAAACTCTTACTAAAGCTAAAACTAAAACTATTCCGGGTAAAGATTTTTTGCAATGACACCAATCTTTCCAAACCATGGCTTTTACTTTCAGCATTCAGATGAGACGTTTGACTGTGTTGCAATAATAACGACAACTTGCGTTGCAATTTGAAGACTTCCCAGTAAATGTCAACCCACACCCACAGGAAATGTTCGAAAAAGTGCCTCTGGAATTTAAGACGAGAATTTTCTCGATGTAGCAGGATGTCTAACGAGAGGTTGGAGGGCGCCCCTGGTAGGTCCTATATATTATATTTCTTTACTTTCCCTTTGGTATTTATGTGTGTCTGTGGGTGGTTGGCGGGTGCTCTAGTGTGGTTTGCTTTTTCCTTCCTATCAAACATCTATCGTCTTTATCTCCCCTCCTTCTTTTTTGTGCTTGTTACTCTCTTGTAACACTTCTAAACTTCGGCACTATATGAACTTGTTGTGTTGCAAGTGCCGTATAACACTTACTAAAACTAAAACATTATGTGTCTGTCTTACTTTTTCCTCCAGACTAAATGACCATTATTGTGTCGATGTACATGTACTTCTCTTTACTCGAACAAACAAACAAACAAACAAACAAACAAACAAACAAACAAACAAACAAACAAACAAAACCATAATGGATTCCCAACAACTGTCACTCTAGAGCCAGTCGATGTGAGGAAAAAACTTTCAGTATTTTTGCCGAAAAATGGACGGTTCTCAAAAATACAACGGAGTGTGTTAATATTGGAAATGTACAAACAGTAAAGTTGTACAGCTTCCTTGTGTCATTCTTCATAATTTTGTTTTGCTCGAGATCCGGTGATTGTTGGGGGATCTCATGGTCTACAGGTTACGGTGTTCGCCTCTCATTCAATAGGTCCCAGGTTCGAAACCTGACAGCGATGCAAAATTGTCTTCTCTGAAAATGTTCTCCTTTCACCTCCTTTCCATCTCTCTAACCTTGTTCTGTCATCTGTTTTTGTCTCCACTTTCAGCCCCCCCCCTCCCCCTACATTCCTTTTCCCCCTCCTCTGGACTCCTGGCTCTTTGTGCAGCCTTTCTACTGTTACTCCCTGGCTCCTTCTTACTGCTGTCTTTCAGCCACACCCCTGATCTTATGGTAGGTAAGATCTAACACATGACTTTCTCGGATAAAGGCGAAAAAAACTCGGACGTCCTGTGTGCAAGATGCGCACGTTAAAATTAAAGATCACTTGGGGTCCAAAATCGATAAGGGTAGGCTTCAGCTGCCACCAGGGCAAAATTTGAAATTAATTCCTACCAAACTGCCCGCGCGCTCATGTGACCTTTTGCAGTTGCAAGCGCTGTACAACACTGACAAAATAACAGATGGAAGTTAAAGAGCATGACCATTGGGCCGAACAATATGGCTACCAGGCTATGCTGTGATCAAGACGTGATCAGATTTGTGACTTACTTCGGCAGAAGGTAAGTTCATTGGCAAAGGAACAGTGGTGGTAGTGGTGGTGGTGGTGGTGGTGGTAGTGGTATGTAGTAGAGGTGGTGGTAGTTAGGGAGGAGGTAGTGGTGGTGGTACGGTAGTAGTAGTAGTGCCAGCTGTTGTATAGTAGTAGTAGTAGTAGTAGTAGTAGTAGTAGTAGTAGTAGTAGTAGTAGTAGTAGTAGTAGTAGTAGTAGTAGTAGTAGTAGTAGTAGTGTTTCT